CTTACAATCAACAAAACGATGAGGTGTTGTGCTGATTTAATCCACAGATGTGCTAAATTATAAAAATTGGCCGTCAATCTCCTCAGTTCTCTGCTGGTTTCTCATAAAAACTGTCCAGGCGCAGTTTGTCTTGTTGAGTTAGAGCTTGTTTGACTCGCTCCTCCTTCTAAACATCAGCAGAGCTTTTCATTCACTCACACGGTAATTCCACCCTCTTCCTGCCAGCTGCAGCTCCATGCTGATCTCATTTCCTGTGTCCATGGAGCCACTTCCTGTTGTTGTTTGAAGGTTAGAGCACTGTGTCCCTGACAACACGCACCGCTCCGTCACGCACTGACCTAAAGCCCACGCCTACAGCGGTCAGCTATCACACACTGACCGCTGCGCTGTATCAACAATGACGCCAGAACCAGCTCACAATACAGCGCCAGCACAGTGGAGCCAAGATTCCCGCGCACGTACTCCCAGATTACTGCAGCGATACTCAGATCCTCAGTTCCTCAGTTCCTTAAGCTTCTGATTAACCCTTTAACACACAGACTAGCTCATAATTATCTTAAGACAGATATTATTCAGTAGCTACTATTAATTAATTAATTAATAACCACTATGAATTATTGAGTTACTGCTATTGATCATTCAGTAACTACAACCCCAATCCCTAAAAAGTTGGGACTCTGTGTAAAATGTAAATAAATGTAAATAAAAAGAGAATGCAATGATTTGCAAATCTCATAGACCCATATTTATATACAGTAGAACACAGAACACATATCAGATGTCGAAATTGAGACATTTTACCATTTCACGAAAAACAGTAACTCATTTAGAACTTGATGGCAGCAACACATCTCAAAAAAGTTGGTGCAGGGCTCCATCTACCACTGTGTACCATCCCCTCTTCTTTTAACACCAGTCTGTAAACGTCTAGGAAGTGAGGAGACCAGTTGCTGGAGTTTGGGAGAGGAATGTTGTCCCATTCTTGTCTGATGTAGGATTCTGGCTGCTCAACAGTTCTGGGTCTTGTTTGCTGGATGTTTCATTTCATGATGCGCAAAATATTTTCTACTGGTAAAAGGTCTGGACTGCAGACAGGCCAGTTCAGCACCCGGACTCTTCTTCTGCAAAGCCATGCTGTTGTAATGGACGCAGTTGTGGTTTAGCATTATCTTTCTGAAATATTCAAGGCCTTCCCTGAAAGAGACGCTGTCTGGATGGGAGCAAATGTTGTTCTAAAACCTCTATACACTGTTCAGCATTGATAGAGCCTTTCCAGGTTTGTAAGCTGCCCACGCCATAGGCACTAATGCAGCCCCAGACCATCAGAGATGCAGGCTTTTGAACTGTGAGCTGATAACAAGCTGGATGGTCCCTCTCCTCTCGAGTCCACAGGACACGGCATCTGTGGATTCCAAAAAGAACTTCAAATTTTGATTCATCTCACCACAGAACAGTTTTCCATTTTGCCTCAGTCCATTTTAAATGAGCTTTGGCCCAGAGAAGGTGGCGGTGTTTCTGGATTGCGTTGACATATGGCTTCTTCTTGGCATGATACAGCTGTAACTTGCATTTGTGGATTGCATGGCAAACTGTGTTCACAGACAGTGATTTCTGGAAGTGTTCCTGAGCCCGTGCAGTGATTTCCAGTACAGAATCATGCCTGTTTTTAATGCAGTGCTGCCTGAGGGCCCGAAGATCATGCGCATTCAAGACCGTCGGCCTTGTCCCTTGCATACAGGGATTTCTCCAGATTCTCTGAATCTTTTGATGATATTATGTACTGCAGATGGCGGGATTTTCAAAGTCTTCACAATTTTACATTGAGAAACATTTTTCTGAAATTGTTCCACAATTTTTAGACACAGTTTTTCGCAGATTTGTGAAACTCTGCCCATCTTTGCTCCTGAGAAACTCCGCCTCTCTAAAATGCTCTTTTTGTAGCGAGTCATGTGAGTTATTTGCAAATTGCTCCTCCAGCTGTTTTTTATTAGTACCACTTACTTTTCCAGCCTTTTGTTGCCCCAGTTGTCCCAACTTTTTTGAGATGCATTGCTGCCATAAGGTTCTACATGAGTTAATGTTTTTCATGAAATAGTAAAATGTCTCACTTTCAACATCTGAAATGTGTTCTATGTTCGATTGTGAATAAAATATGGGTCTATGAGATTTGCAAATCATTGCATTCTCTTTTTATTTACATTTATTTATTTACAAAGCGTCCCAACTTTTTTGGAACTGGGGTTGTAATATGAATTATTCAGTATGTATGAATTATGCAGTAAACTAGTATGAATTGTTTTGTAACTGCTATAAATTATTCAGTATCATCTCTGAATTATTCATTAACCACTATAAACGAAGTTGCAGCGATGAATCATTCAATAACTAAGGATTATTCAGTGTGTATGAATTATGCAGTAACTTTTATGAATTGTTCTGTAACTGCTATGAATTATTCAGTATCTTCTCTGAATTACTCATTAACCACTATGAATTACTGAGTTGCAGCTATTCCTCAATAACTACTATGAATTATGCAGTGTGTATGAATTATGCAGTAACTAGTACAAACTGTTATGTATATGCTATGAATTATTCATTAATTAGAATTATTCAGTGTTTATTAAGAATTATTAAATAACCACTATGAGTCATTGTTTATTATAAATTATTCAGTAAGTAGCGTTATAATGCATTATAACAGATCACAATACTATTCCATAATAAATACCATGCAAACATTTGGCTAAAATACAATTTTTATATATGAAAATCCAGAAAAAAGCTTAGTTTATTATATGCAAATCGTAGTGAGGTCACAGATTTACACAACTGGTGAGTTCTGTTGTTGAGAGTGAGAAACTGAAGTGTTGACTCTTCATTAGGGTCGACTTCCTGGGCTGAGATTAAGTATTAAGTCTAGTCCTGGACTGCATTTTCCCTTCAATGGAGAATCTCCATACAGAATGCTGCATAGTCCAGGACTAGGCTAAATCCCTGACCCCAAAAAACTTTAGCCTTATTGTTTAAGCTCTCAGGGCAAGAACTACAACACAATGTTTATGTGTATTTATGTGTATTTATCTTTCTTCATTGTTATCTTTGATATAGATTTTAATATTTTTTTCAGTTGTATTCGTCTGTGTAAAGCATTTTAAATTACTTCCACCTATTATTTTCTAAATATGTAATATAAATACGTGTGGCTTTGACTCACTCATTCTCTTTACAAACAGAATCCTCTTTACAACTCCTGACACGGCTTACTGGAGGACAGCCAGCGCCATCAATCAGAGCGAAGACAGCTGAGACAGTGTTTTGACCAGGAGATCACATGTCCGTGGGTGTGCATGTTCAGATGACCATGTGTGCACGTCCGTCTGAGATAAACACAGTTCTTACAAGCGCACAGACACTGATTCTCACAGGGATCAATAGATCAACAAGCTCTCAACAAATAATACGTGTCCAGTGGGGTAATTCACTAAGTTAGCCAGACAGCTTAAGCTAAAAGTAATAGGAGAAGAAGTCAGGGACACCAAATAACCTCTAAAAAGGACTTTGATGCACTACGTAAACACAAAATGTAATTAAATTATAAATTAGATTATCTATACAATCCATTTGTGAAAACCACGGTGCAAAAACAGCCTGTTTAGAATTCATCATGGTTGTGATGTCGCAACTATAAACACGTTTACATATTACAACTTACTCAGCCTACAGCAGCTTAGCCCCACCCATTCAGCCTACAGCAGTTTAGCCCCACCCATTCAGCCTACAGCAGGTTAGACCTACCCATTCAGCCTACAGCAGTTTAGAGCCACCTATTCAGTCTACAGCAGTTTAGTCCCACCCATTCAGCCTATAGTACTTTAACTCCACCCACTTAGTCCAAAGCAGTTTAAACCTGCCCATTCAGCCTACAGTATTTTAGCCCACCCGTTTAGCCTACAGCAGTTTAGCCCCACCCATTCAGCCTACAGTAGTTTAGCTCACCCATTCAGTCTACAGCAGCTTAGCCCCACCTATTCAGCCTACAGCAGTTTAGCCCCACCCATTCAGCCTACAGTAGTTTAGTCCCACCCATTGCGCCCACAGCATGTTAGTCCCACCCATTCAGCCTACAGCAGTTTAGCCCCACCCATTCAGCCTACAGTAGTTTAGCTCCGCCCATTCAGCCTACAGCAGTTTAGCCACACCTACTCAGCCTACAGCAGTTTAGCTCCACCCATTCAGCCTACAGTAGTTTAGCCCCACCCATTCACCTTAGAGTAGTTCAGTTCCACCCATTCAGTCTACAGCAGCTTAGCCCCACCCATTCACCCTACAGTAGTTTAGCCCCGCCCATTCAGCCTACAGTTTAGCCCCATCCATTCAGCCTACAGCAGCTTAGCCCCACCCATTCAGCCTACAGCAGTTTAGCCCCACCCATTCCACCTGCAGCAGTTTAGCCCCACCCATTAAGTCTACAGCAGTTTAGCCCCACCCATTCCACTTACAGCAGTTTAGCCCCACCCATTTAGCCTACAGCAGTTTAGCCCCACCCTTTCTCGTCGACATGATGGAGTGTTGTTCCTGCAGACAGGCTGCATCCCATAATTCTTTTTCATGATTTTTCATCAAAAAGAACACTATTTTCTTAGTTTTTTATTGGAGTGTACTATAATGTAGTACATTTGTATGTTTGTATGTTTCTACACAAGATTTTTTAGACCACCTTTAGATCTTTAATTAGAGCTAATCCTGATAGATGTATCCCAGACATAAGACCATTCAGAACTTTGGAATGACTTGTCATAAAGAGTTTTGTTGATTTATTTTACTCTTTACTTAGAGGGTACAGTACACTCACCTGTACATTCACCACTACACTGCTGGAAATACCCCCAAACCAGCTCACCCACTTCAGTTACACATACTTTCAGATGGAAGAGAGTGTAAACTGTAAGAGAGTGTATGTGTGTGAGCTGTAATAGACAGGTGAAGGCAGGGTCTACCTTGGCCACCAGCATCTGTTGCTGAGATTCTATCTGCTGCTGCTGCCGAATGGCCATCTCCTGCAGCTCGGACAACGTCAGCTCCACACGAGGATTCCCCACCTACACACACAAACACATCACAGTGTGAGAGTTGCAGGACTTACACTGGTATATGTGCTGACATCCGTTGATATGCTGGACCAGTGTAAATGCACTATGACTGAATAAGACTTCAACACAAGGGCCTCCAGTTCAAGGCAAAGCAGATAAACACAACGCAAAGCCGTAAAGTTGCCCTTTTATGCTCAATTTCAAGTTCATAATTTTATTTTTTGATCTAACAGAACAGATTTATAAGCTTCAATGTTTCAAAAACATATTAGTTTTCTCACACTGTACATCTCTGTTCACGCTCTGTCTGAAATGCTCTGTTAGAGCTCCTGTGTCTTTAAGCCACGCCTCCCGATGAGCCTAGTGTGCTCTGCTTGGCTAACTCGCCCACTCTGTTCTGATTGGTCAACTGCTAGAGCACCATCCTGCTACAATTTCTGCGCTGTGGCTGTTCTTACAGCGGCGTCGGTTCTGCCGTTTCAGTTTAAGCCAGAGTCAATCCTGAAAGTCCGGTAGAAGAAGCTGGTAGACTCGATGGACTGGAGCTGGACATTTCAGGGCGATGATGTTTTTACTTTGTGGCTCTCTTGTGAGGGCGTGCCGAGCTCGCCAGTAGGCGGGCAGTAAGGACTGTGTTACGAGATTGAGTCATTCTGTAACAAAGGAAAAGGGCTGGAATTCCAACGAGGCGTTTCAGGCAGCTGAGAAAAGTGGATTCTGTGGGAGAGAGTTTCTCCCTCTGGAGGGAACGCTGAGCTTTGGGACTCTGCTGAACGTTTATATGCACAAAAAGCTACAACAGCATCAAATGTGATCAACAACGTGATTGACAGTGTCACGCATCCCTCTGGCTCCGACTCAGACAAGGACTCCATTTCCCAGAATGCCGTGGGAGATCACATGACTGTAGGACTTCCGCAATCCACCAGTCAACGTTCACATTCACCTGAATACTGATCTGTTGTACCTGCTCTGTTTGTCATACGACTAGGCTTGGTTCAGTTTAAAAGCCCAGGCTTTAGACTAATTATTTTGCGAGGTATTAATTCTCCCAGTAGAGCTACTGAGAGTTTCCTGATTGTTGTCTTGCCTTCTTGCATATTTGACCTCGTTTGTGGATTTTCTGACTTTGCCTTTTTGGATCTGGTTGCCGTTGTTATGTTTGTCCTTTTCTGTCTGTTGTCTTATTGGATTTGACCTACGCCTGTTCACCGACTACGATTATTACTCATTTCTTGTTTTTACCGCAAGCGTCTGGCTGGTTCTGCCACATTACAGACAGTGCTGGATATCAATAAAAATGAATGGACTGAATGGCATGATCCCTTTCAGAGTGAAATGTCCTTAAATTAGACATAAAACATCAGATTCTGCCATTCAAACCCAGCCATTACTCTGTGCTGGAGAGCGCTGCCTAGTGTACTAAGAATAAAGACACTGCAAAATTCATATTCATTTAATCTGTCATGTTCATTTTCACGCTGCTGCCTCACTGCAGTGTCTACAGCACGTGAGCGCAAACAGCTGAGTGGCTTCTGGGCAACAGAGGGAAAAAACAGCAACTCTGCACGCAAAAGGGCAGCGATCACGAGGAAAATCAGTCTATTTTAGGGCTATATAATACATGGTTTATTACTAATTATAGCCATATTGGCCTTTGCAGTACTGTTTGACCTTTTTTATCTTATTAGTTTGTGTTTCTGGTCATAGAGCAGAACACTGTCGGAACAAAACCTCATATCCGCACCGTGGAAACTTTACAGGAGAAGGAAAAACATTCTTAACCTTAATTGGAAGATACTGAGTGTGTTTACATGCACTCAATAATCCAATCATAATCAGATTTCTGCAGTTATCTGATTATTCAAATGGTCATGTAAACACCATACGCTGAGTTCTTAGATCGGAGCATGGACTAGAAATCTGATTAAGAAATCCGGAAAATAGAGTTGGATTTTAGCTCAGTAATCAGATTGCTCAGAGCATGTAAACCCTTACTCTGATTTCTTTTGGATTTTGGTTTTTGTGTGTGCGAAAACAGGCAGAGGTACTGGAAGTAAGAGAGCAGTGCTGCTGCGAGATGCAGCAAGACGCTTTTGGAGCGACAATGAAACCGACTACATGCTTGACGAAATGAAGGATTTAAATATTCTTTCATTTTCTAGATGATGTATGTTTATATTTTCAGGTAAAGTGGTGCGATGATTTTCTTGAAAATCCGCAGCATGAAGTTTGAATTTTACATTACGTTTATGTCGTGTCTTCTTCTGTGAGTTTATTGGCTGGTTGCAAAACAGAAATCTGATTACTGTCTGACTCATGTAGACCTGGAGTTCATTATCTGATTACTCAAGAGCATATAAATGTGTCGATCAGATTACCGACAAAATCTGATTTTCTTCAGTTATCGGATTATTAAGCAATTTTCTTCCATTCATTATGAAATTTTAACACAAGGGGAAGTGGAGCTTTCAAATTATGCAAAAAAAGTAAAAAAAAAGGAGATGGTTTTCAACTGACAGCGATAGTCATGTAACCCTAAAACTGTAATGACTTTGCGCCACCTCTAAAACACTTTTTAGACTGATATCAGCAGCAGTGGGCGGCCCCAAATGATATTAACCGTAGGTTCACCTCCTCCTCCCAGCCCCACCTATCATGGACAGAAAACACTCAGAGACCCTCCTTGATTCCACATTTAGCTCACAAATACATCAAAGTACAAAAGGATCCTATTCATACTTCATTTAAATGGTTTACATATGAAAATAAGCCTTTTATATATTCCTTCATTTTTATCGGGCATGTTGACTGATCACAGATGGTAATTTTGGTCAAAATAACTGACTGACAGTCAGTCACCGCTGATTTAATTAATTATGCATAATGACTTTAACCTTTAAATATTGTGTCGGTAATCGTCTTGTATATTGTTTATTTTCTCCCTTATTTCTTTGAAATTTTAAAATAATTTTTATTATTCTCTTAAGTGATTATGGTTTTAATTATGTTTTTAATTTTATTTTATGTATTGAAGTATTAGACTTCTTATGTGCTGGTGTTTTAATTTCCATTATTTTGTTGAGTACAAAAGGTACTATTTATTTATTTATTCATTCATTCATTCATTCATTTAAACAGAGAAATCAAATTTAATCCAGTAATTGATACAGCCTGAACTGCAGTATGGTATTTGGTCCATACTGTGCAGCTCCAGTCTGTAGAAGGGTGAGGAAATGCCTGGAATGAGGGAACAGGAAGGCGGAGGTCCTGCCACGTCCTGCTATTGTGTACATTAACTTCCACGCACATACTTACACGTTACCCCATTTAAATCATTCACAAAAGTCACAGTTAGTGTCCAGGATCATCTGCAGTCCTGCTGACCCGAGCAGTGTTTTTACAGAGTCACTGAGTGACAGACTCCATCCTACTGCAGTGCACTCCTCTTATTTCCTTAATGACAAATTCAGCCTGAGTCACGCTGTCGGCTGCGCCGTGGCAAATTTCATTTCATTCCAGGTGCTGGATGTAATCTCTCCAATCAGGATGATGCTGATCATTAAGGCACATTTGATCATCAGCACAGATCTCAATCCCGTCTCCACAATCCAACTCTACGGCTAATTCTGACCAAACTCATCCCAAACTTCATTTAACTGATCATTCACCCTCAGATGTCACCAGCAATAACAAAATTATGCTGTGGTTTTGTATGAATTAGTTCTGACTCATTGAAACAAAGACAAATACTGTGTGGAAACTGCAGCTTTGAAACTATTGATCCATGCAACACATTTGTTTTTTGTAATTAGAGGAGATATTTTAATAATATTAAAATATTATTTATAGATATTTTAATTTGAATTTGATGAAAGATTATCACTGAAATCTTTAAAACAAAACAAAATCCTGTTTTTGCATTTTCTGACATCAAAACAAACATAAAAAGTCTGTAGAAAATGTCATTCGCGTTGTAATTAACTGTATAATTAGTTGTGTAAGTATATTACATATAATTAGTACTGCATTATGACGACTCTAGACAGCCTTATTATTCAGTTATTGATCTTAAGACATGATAAGCATTATTTATTATTACTGTTATTCAGTATCTACTATGAATTATTTAGTATCTATGAATTATTTAGTATCTACTATGAATTATTTAGTATCTACTATAAATTATTTAGTATCTATGAATTGTTTAGTATCTACTATGAATTATTCAAAATCTACTGTGAAATATTCAGGATCTACTATGAATTATTTTAGTATCTACTATGAATTATTCATTAACTATGAAATATCGAGTATCTACTATTAACTATACAGTAACTACTATGAATTATTCAGTATTTACTGTGAATTATTCAGCAGATAGAGTTTAAGGATTATGCAGTCTTTCAGCTGGTCAGTATTATTTTTGCCTAAAAAGCATGTTTCCTCTAACAAAGCGTCTGGGCAATCTTCCCACGAAAACCTTTTAAGTCGGAAACAAAGTGTCAGAGAAATAATGAAGGTTTTCCTCGGGACTAAAGAAGCAGAAAGGAAACATTTTCACTCTGTCAGTGAAAACATTTCCTTTCCTCCCCGTGAGTACCAGCTGACCGGTCAGATCCTGCTCTCTGAGAGTGGACCTGATAACACAGCAGGAGATATAGGAACCACACCTGTCAATCACTGTGGGTCTGCCTGCCAATCAGTCACTGAATCCCCTTCCTGGCTCATTATTACTCATTATTATAGTCATTAGCCCCATGGCTTCTTGACAGCTACACATCCTTTCAGACCCACAGCGCTGAGTCGTCTTCTCACAGTGGAAGGATGGACAGAAACACCTGTGGATGTTTTCAGATCTGAAGCAGCTTGATTTTCTCCTCTCTCTCAAAGATGAAAGCTTTAAGTGCTGTTTATCTGATGGGGGCAGTTTTTGTGTCTACCAAGTCTTCCAGGTGGTTGTTAGGAGACACATTTTCTCTGTAGCTTTTAATCAGTTTTTTGACTTC